CTAGGCACAAAAGGTTCATTTTAATCTTTTTAACCATTTGGTGTTTCCAATTATTTAATTAATTCTTTGTCTAGGTCAGGCATGCTGAAGGAGATCACTATGTTACAGGAGAGAAGGATCATGATGCACTTTTATCTTAAGAATTTTTTGATTCACATCTCTCTCCTTTGGGCTTGCAGCAGGTAATTAAATTTCAGTTTTATTTTTTATATACATATATATTAATTTGTTTGATCTGTGGGATTTATTAGTTTGTTAATGAGATAATCAAATTAAACCTTTACATTAATTAGTAGTTTTATCATAACAGGTTAGCAATCTTAGAAACCATGTTCATGGATCCGGATTATTAAGGCGAATTGAGTTTGTTATAACTTCCCCTTTGTTCAGGTACCTAAAAGTCTAGTTCCGCATAAAACATTTCATTTCATATTGTTTAAGTTCGCGGATGCAGTACACTTCGACTGATCCAATTGTCTATTGGCAGTTAAACTCTAGCATAAACTCTAACACAATGAAGTGCCAAGAGTGTCCAACCTCTTCAACTCCTTTCTTTGCTCTTTATATAGATTATTTACTTAGCTCCTATTGGTCCACATCACACATGCCACTTGCACAAGTTGCATTTGAAAAGCTATTTCCACCTATCAAAAAAATAATAAAAAACGATAAGGGGAGCTTCTCATGAAGTTAGATACAATATCCCTTCAAAACTGCGGCGTTTTTGTCCCAAACAATCTGGCAGAAGATCATTTCATAGGTTGTCTAGCAATTGGTCCACATTCTTCCACGTTGATCAACTCTCCTTCTTTCTTTCTTCTTGGGCTAGTTGGGCGTTGGACCTTGGATTTGTTCGGCTTTCCAAAGCATCATTCGGCCTTCATAAGTAACAGATCTTCAAGGGCTTTCTTTGCATTGATTAGGTGCCAAATGGATCATAATTGGTCCATTTTTGCTTAAAATAGCAAATATTGATATGCTCATGTGCAAATCAAATAAAGAGAGAAAACCATGCAAAATGGAGTTTATTCTTAATTTAATATTCAAAACAAAGCTAAATTTAATTAAAACAAATGATAAAATACATGCATATTTTGTTATTATCATAATTGTACCTTTCTTTCAAACCATTCGAAATATAAACGGTTATGTAATTATCAAATATTCAATAGAGAAAATTAATGCCTTAATGCTATTTGATTAGATTTTTTATCTTCATGATTCATTGCATCTAAATATAATTTAGATCTAGCATTCATGATATAAACTTACCCGTAATAATAACAAAAAGAAACTAGAAATTCGAACTTTGTAAGATTTAACATGACAACAATATAATTATTTTAGATAACAAGACCATAATAAAAAATATTTGGAATAAAAAAAAATGTAAACTTTAATATTCAAATATGTATTTGAATATGAAAATGAATTCATCTTCAAACGAAACTTTACAAAGAAAAAAAAATCTTTCTTTTATTTTTACAAAGAAAAGAAAAAACCAATCTTGCTAAACATTATCTTTACAAAAAACAGAATGATAAATACTGAACTGTAAAACGATTTTCAATCTTTTATATGTAAATTAACAATTGACTATTTAATCGTATAACATAACAAAATATTTATTCATGATTTAGAAAGGCGTCGAAAGTTACCTTTTTTATGTAACAAATTTAAGCACACTAGCCTTAACTTTGATTGTCGCAAACTATAAGTTATCCTCTCTTTGAATGATTTGAACAAAAGGATTAAGAGGTTTTTCTTTAAACCATTTACAATTCAAAAGAGTGAAAAATCAAAGCAAAGCAGTAGAGTAAAATTGTGCCGATAAAGTGTTGAAAGGCTTTATTTTTATAGTTATTTTTAATAAATTTTATTTAGGTTTTCATTTAGTTTTTATCTATTTTTGTTTTATTTCAGTTAATTTATTTATATCTTTTAATAAAGTTTCCTTGAATCACATTTAATTTGATTTTGAAAAATTTAATACGATTTTGATAGGAAACCAGCCAAAAGTTCAGAAAAGAATGAAGTTAAACAAAACTTTCAAAGCTGGGCACGCCCTGGGTGTGCAATCCAGCACCCCCATGCAGAATTCAATGGAAAACACCATGGAGACTCAGAGGCTAGTGTTGGCTCAAAGGTCAATTTTATCTTGAGATTTTGATGATTAAGTAAAACAAATAAATTTTATTATTTTATTTGTGATAATATTATTTTTATGCAGATTTCTTTATTTTTAATAATAAGCAAGGCAAATTCTAACAAATCCAAGTTTAATTGAAAATCATGAAAACCATTGAAGATTTTAGTGGTTAAGTATATTAGTATTCGTTGTAGAATAGAGAGAATATTCTTTTATAAAGACAAAAATATTTTTTTCTCTCTCTCAAAATGATTTTTTTTCAAAAATTATCCTCATAAAGGTTTGAAATTTATTCACTTACCTAAATTAAAGAGACTTTGTCTCAAACGATTTTGGTAATAAGAATAAATCGAAGAAGATTTTTATGCTCTTCATTTTCAGAGACAAAATTTTTAAAGAGATCCAAAATCTTGATTTTGTCTTGTTACCTAAACAAAAAGAGATACTATCTCAAATCGTTTTTGGTAAATATTTATTTCGAAAAAGATTTTCTTTATTTTTGAAAAAGATTTTCTTTAATCTTGTTTTTAAAGGAAAGTTAGATTTTTTTTTTTAAATTCACTTATTAAAAAGAAAGAATATTGACTCAAAAGATTTGGTAACAAAGATTTCCGTATCTTCTAAAAATGAGTCAATATTCTGATTTGAAAATGGGATTTTACTTTCTCAATATGGGATTCTCATTCCTCTCTATAAAAAGGTATTTCGTCTTTAAATATCTTATTTAAAAAGAGAGATTTTAAAATTTCTAAAACGGGAGTTTCCATCCGCTCTATAAAAGAGCGTCTTTCCCTTGTAAAGACGTGGTTTTTAGTTTTAAGAGTATAAGTCCATTGATTCAAATTTTAATCTTCCAAAACTTACTCTCACCTCAACTTGATCTTTCATCTTATTACTTAACGTATTCTTTTAAAAGAGAAAAGAAAATTTTATAACAACTTCTTGAAAAACAAATTAAATGTTCTTTAAAAAACGATTTCTAATCTCGATTTCTGTTTTTTCCGTACTTATATTTGCTTCTCTTCTATATAGATTTTGTAATCTGTTGTAGACGGGCTTTTATTTGCAAAACATTTGTGTAATAGCTTAGGTGAAAAGCTATTGTGAAATAGGTTATCAAACAACCTTCTCCTTGTGTGGGATTCTAATGTCTTGATTTAAGTTTCTGTTTTCTGCAAAAACAGAAAGGGTTGAGGTTGACTAGAACCTTTGGCAAATCTAGTGGGACAAGTGGTAGATCTAACAGTTGATCTATTGCCTTATACTGTTGGTTTATCTCTTACCCTTAAAAAGAGATAACATAGTGGAGAATCTCAAGATGAGTCTTGGGGAATGGATATAGGCGAGTTAGTGCCGAGCCACTATAAATCGCTGTGTTAATCTTTTTATTTTCTGAAGTTCTACTTGATACCTTTTTACTTACACTTCTGTTAATCTTTTAGAAATGCTAAATGCTAAGTTGTTAATTGTTTTGTTGTTCTAAACTTGAATAGGCTTTATCTTTATTGAACAGTAGAACTCTGGACTTCTACATTGTGAATATACCAAGTTCTAATTTGTTCCTCTATATTCAGTATGTTTCACAATTTGCGTTTTTAATCAGTTCTCTGAGTATATTTAGAGCCTTGTGAAGCAATTTAGAAATTCAATAAATGTTTCTCATATACGCTTTAATATTTGTCCAAACTTCAACAAGTAGTTCAAAACGTAATAACTTTTCTTCATAAAGTGTTTTTGAAACTGTTTAAGATATTGTGAAGCAATTCTAATCAATAGCTGCTCTTTACAAAGTCTTTCTAATTTGGCTGAGCTTTGGTGTGGAAGTTTCTAATTATAATGCTCTCACAAATGCATTCTAATTTTCGCTACAAATAGAAATTTCTGATTTTGTTTTTGAAAATTTAAAATTTGTATTTTTAAAAAACCCAATTCAAAACCCTTCTAGTTTGTGCCATACGTAATCGGGACCACAAATCTGGTATCAGAGCTTGCTCTGGACTTACCGAAAGTTAAATAGCTGAAGAGAAAGATCCCAATGCAGTCCCGATTCCTCTTACATCTTTACAAGTCATATATGTTTTCAGACCACTTGTTTAAATGTTTCTAATTACTACTCTACTGACAAAAATGGAAAATTTCATAAAATCAGTTGACATAAACTACTGGAGGAACGTCATTACTGGTCTTCGTATTCATATGAAAACTGTAGAAAATGAGAGAGTTAGAAAAATAAAAGAATAATATACTAATGCTGATTGGAATGATATTTTTATAAATGCAAAAGCTAGTAATATTCTTCACTGTGCATTAGATCCAACAGAATACAACAAAGTGTCTGGATGTAAGTCTGCAACAGAAGTCTGGGAAAAACATAGAGTTACCTATGAGGGTACTGATCGAGTGAAGAAATCCAGAATTAATATCCTTTGGAAAGAATATGAAATGTTTAGTATAAAAGAAGGAGAAACTATTGCTGAATTAAATTCTAGATTTACTAATATAGTTAATCCTTAATCTTGAAACCTGGAAAGAAAATTTCAGAAAGATGAGCTTGTTTAAGAAAAATCCTTAGATTCTACCTAAGAAATGGAATTTTATAGAAACTGTTATGAAATACAAAGAGACTACCCGTTACTTATGATTATTTATTTGATAGGAGCTTCTGTTTTCAGAAGGATGCGATCTTCTTTGACTAAGAAGATAAGAACAGAAGGATAGATTTAAAAGTAGTTCTAGTGAAAGAAAGTTACTTACTGAATCATTGACAGATGATAGATTGCACATTGCTTAGCATAAAAGAAGATATAAAAAAAAAGTTCCTAAAATAAAAAAAGATATAGGAAGGCAACACATGGTAAGGAAAGTTCCATCTAAAAATAGCAACATGCTTAAGAAAGAACCTTCTGAAGTGGTTTGTTATGAATGCAATAAGCCCGGCCATATCAAGCCTAACTGTCCTAAGCTGAAAAGGAAGTCAAAGAAAGAAAAGCCGAAGCAGGCATTCGTAGCTGCTTGGAGTGACTCAGATGTTTCTAATTCAGAAAGTCAAAGTGACGAGGAGGAGAGTGCAAATATTTATCTAATGACCACTATCAATTCTGATTCCAAGAAAATCAGCACTCTGACTTCAACACAGAAAGCTGAAAGTAATGAAACAAATGCAACGGGCCAAAAACGTGAAGAAAGCAATGTAAGTATTTCTGAACCTGAATCTGAAAATGATCTTCTAGATACTTATAATAACCTTTGTACTGAATTTGAAAAGCTTGTTATTGAAAAACTTGTTGGAAAGCATAAAGTTCAAAAGAAAGATTTCAGAAATTTAAAAACTGAATGTAATCATTTGAAAGATGCTTTTTATCAAGAAGTTACATGCAAAGATCTTATCATAGTGATCAAAGATCTTAAAGATTGTAATAATACATTGCAATGATAAATTGTTTTGAAAAATCTGAAAACACTTTGAAGAAAAATGTAAGAATCTGAATCTCTGAAAAATGAATCTTTGAAACAAAAAAGAAAAAATGAGATTAAAATTGCTACAAGTCAATTTCAGAAGTCCGTTTTCTAAAAGAAAAGACAAGTTTAAAAGTTTATGACTACAGCATTTCAAAATAGAATCATGTTTCTAATAAGAAAAATGTTTGTGTTCCTAATGTTTATGACTTTAGAACATCCAGAATGTTTCTAATGTTATGACTTTAGAACATCAGAAATCTGACAGTCTCAACAAAAAGAAAAATCATAGTAAGCTGAATACACCTGTTACCACTAACCTTCCAGGACCTAATATGATTTGGGTACCTAAATCTGCATGATCTTTTTAGGTGTGCCTAAGGGGTGAGCTGAAAACAGAAATGTGGTACATGGATAGTGCTTGCTTTAGGCATATGACTGGTGATAGAAAGAAATTCACAAGATTATTAAAAGAAAAAGGGGGGTACAGTAAGCTTTATAGACAAAGCAAAAGGTAAATCATTGTTCTTGGTGTGGTAGGTTCTAATCGGTTCTAATCCTTCAATAGAAGATGTATGCTTAGTAGAAGGATTACATTATAACTTGTTAAGTGTAAGTCAGATTTGTGATAAAAATAGAAGAGTGATCATTGAACCCTCTTTTTGTGAAGTTCAGAACATGCATGATAACAAAACTTTATTTGTGACATCCTACTGAATCGAGTCGTTGCATTTAGTGAGTCGAGTCGAGTCGAAACGAACCAGAATCCGATTCGAGCCATAAAAATTAAATAAATCAAAGACTTATACTTAATTGAATGAAACATAAAGATGTAGACTCAATTGAAATAAAAGTATAAGGATTAGGCCCTAAGTGAAATAAAGTATAAAGTTTAGGTATTAAATGGTAAAATAAATGTAAAATATTGAAAATTAAGGTACTATTTGGTAATTTTTAAACATACTAGAAGATATATTTGAAGGTTACCACAAAAAATTCACATTCACTTATACCTTATCCAATCTTCTCCTTTTGTCTCTTCCTTCCTTTAACCTTCTCCTCCACTCTTCCTACCATTTCTACTTAATATTCAAACTTTCAGCATTAAAGATTCAACCATAACTCTATCCAAGTAAGTGAATTTCTGAATTTCATAATTTATAGTGAGATTTTGGATGATTATAAGAATGTTATTATGTATAAAGTTAGAGGTGAGCTCAAATGAGAAGAAAAAAGGAAGCTAAAGAAGAGAGGTTATAAAGCTTTTTGGTTTGAAGGTTTGAATCTCTTTTAGTTTAACAATTTTTCCTTGCATGAGAATATATGTAGTGTGATGATAGTTGAAGATAAGATATGTTGCTGAATGTTGAGATATTAGGTTTGAGAATGTTGATTAAGATGGGATGCATTGAAATAAATGAATTGGATATTGATTTTAATGCTGAAAACAGGTTTGTTGGAAAAATTGACCAGTAACTTCAATCCTGAATTTGAAAACCTGTTAATTTGAACCTGTTTACTGATGGAATTAGGAAGTGGTATAGAAGAGTTATTTGTTCCTTTATGTTTTAGCTGTCTATGAGCTTTAGAATCACCTAAATTTAACTTATAAATTGAAAGATATGCCCAAAATAGTACAAACTGTGCAGGCTGAAAATCAAAATCTAGGCGGACTGGAAGTTGCTACTTTAATTCAATATTTGACTATTTTACCAATATATTTTAGAGAGGTGATAGAAGACATATTTGTACCCTAATGTGTTAGCTAACCATAGACTTTAGAATGACCTAAATGGGACTTAAGAAGAAAGAGTTATGCTAGAATTTGTGAAACATGTACAGGCTGCCCTGGCAGATTTTAAGGCTACATTAGAAATGTTGTTGGAATTAGTACTTAAATTAAAATAAAAAATTTCCTTAATCCGAATGTCCTAAATTAAGATACATAAAGATTAGGAAGAGTTGCGTCGCGGATGCAACAGTTAGATTAATTTCATGCAAGTTCCTTTACAAGTTATCAATTGTTTGCATTATTACTCATTTGATATTACTTGTAGTTGTCTATATTAAACTTTGTAGTTGTCTATGGAAAATCCTTTTAAAGCATGAAACAGGTTGTGAAACAGTAAGAATGAGATTAGCAATACAGGTAACATAAATGGTTTATTATAGCATTTTATGAAATAATCAGATAAATAATGCTCCACTGAGGTAGGTAGAGTAACCACGTAAGATAACACGCGTATGTCGCGAGCATAGGATAAGCAGATCTGCGTCCCAATACAGTTTGGTACTCAGGCTACAGGCCGTATGAGGTGAATATGATTATAAATACGAGTCATAGTAGCCCCATTGGACGCGTGTCTTTAAGCCCCCGCCTGATCCGATAGGATACGAGGATGCCAGAATGAAAGGTTGAATGCTTCATAGAAAAGTCTTTTTGCTATCTAGAAGTCTTTTAATCCAAGGATTTAAATTAAACCGATTTTAAGTTTCTGGTTGGGTCAGAGTTGCGTCACGCAGCTAAGCAGGTGCGTGATGGCACTGTCAGCTACGTCACATAGCTCTGATTTGTATGACGTCGCCAAAAATGACGATATAACAGTTTTTCTTCTGTCTGAGCGACACGTGGCTGTGGTCCATAAAGAAAGCTGCGTCACGCATCTAATAGATCCATCACGAAGCCGTAAGCTGCGTGACGCAGCTATCCTCTACTGCCCTACATCTATAAATTGATCTTTTTCTCTCATTTGAGGGGGTAAATTGATCTTTTTCTCTCATTTGAGGGGGCTTTTGAAAAACTCACTTTCGGCTATATTTTTCTCCAGAGACTCTTCTGAGTTCATTTGAAGAAAAATCGCCATTAGATATCATTTTAGGTAAAAATAAAATCATAAAAAAGAAAAATCAAAAGAGAAAAGAATAAGTGTTTGAATCCTTGGTGATAAAGCTTCTGGGAGGCGTTAACTATCATTTGTTAAGGCATTTAAGCCACTTACAATCCTCAATCTGAGGATTAGGTAACTCTTTTACCCTTCTTTGTATTTTTATTTATTTTTGTGGTTATTTTTTGTGGCTTTAGTAGTTTAAGCCTTCCTTTAAACTGTATTCTTGTTTCACAATCTTTTGTCATTTTAGGTTTTTCTTAAAGCATATTTAGATAAAAAATTGATCTAAACAAAATATTTGAAAAATAAGCATTTGGGCCAGAGCAGTTGCGTCATCGCAACTGACGGATCCGTAACGGAAACTGAAGATGCGTGACGGATCTATCTAATCCAACATTTTATTTCTATACACAGATTCCGTCACGGAAAACCTAATTAGATTCCGTCACGGAACTATTAGAATCCGTGATGGCAGCTGTTTAAGACCCTCCAAAAATAATTTTTATTTTTTAAAAATATAAATTTTGCCACAAAAAAAAGTTTTAAATTTCCCTCCAAATAAATCGAAGATGTCCAATTATAGAAGACAAGATTTGCAATTTAATTAAGTTTAGAGTACTAAAATAGTAATTTTGCGTATTTACTTGTATGAATTTTAGCCACAAATTTTAGGTTGAATAAAAAATGAAATTAAAATTTATGGGGTTTGTTATAATATTGCAATGTTTAGGACTAAATTAAAAAAATAAAAATGTGATTAGTTGCCTAATAATAATTTATTCATGATTTTGGTTTTGGTTTTTGAGGTATTAATTTGTGAATCGAGTAGAATGTATTTTAGGTTCGGTTTTGTTGCCACAACCTTGAAACCATAAAGACAAGAGCGGGCTCTTTTATTTATTCGATTTATCGCTTTGGTTTGAATGATTATAATATGCAATAAATTGGATTTGAATTGGGGCGATTAAGTTAATATTTTCATATAAAGAACTCGGTCCGATATCAAATTTGGGTTGGGTTTAAGTAAACAAAATAATTTGGCGTTTTCTAACTAAAATAAATTAGAAAATCATAGGTTTAAAAAGCGGCCAAAGTATTTTCCCGGGCGTCGGCATTCCAACGGGCCCGCGTAACCCAATTCCCTTTACCCGTACCCAATTCCCTTACCCAGAATCGCATTGGTGCGCCTGACCAGTCTTTTTTTAATAATTTGGCCTTAAATAAAATTGGGTTTAAAATGGAATCAATTTTTTATAAAATAAAATTGAAAACGGTCCCATTGCCAAAATAATGGGTGGCGACTCAAAAACTGTTTATAAGACTGATTTATCAACATCGTATCCAATAAAATGTTTTATCACCACTTTTCATAATACTTTCCACATCAAAATAAGATAAACAACATAAAAAACATAAAATAAAAGGGATGTTTTCGAGTCCACCCGGGGGGGGCGGTACGAAAATAAGCCCAGCCATACAGTATTCATCCAGTTTCATACACTTGTTCTTATCACTTCGGTTTCACTCGTTCTTATCACTTCGGTTTCACTCGTTCTTATCACTTCGGTTTCACTATAATCTTATGGAGCCATACAGTTATGATTATGGAGCCAATACAGTTCATGAAATTGTGTTATTTATAATAAATTATAATAACGATGTTTAATAAAAATTTGCATAATTCATGTAGCATAATGAACAGCAAGAGTAAAGACCCTTTAAAGTATAATGAATATATGTGCTTACAATTGCTTATTTTATCTTAATTCTTAATTAAGTTGAGATATCCACTGAGCCATTCATTTAGCTCAGCGTAGTTACCTATTTTAACTGGCAAGTTTTTGAGTTCCAGGACCGTAGAGAGTCATCTTTACAACATGCTTGTCAAGTTCATCTTTTGAAGACCCAGTCTTCAAGGTAACTACTCTCATTTTGATATTTTGGTTCTATGGACATGTACAGGGTACAATAAGTTGGACCCATTATCCATTTTGAAAAATAGTGTAATGTCCTTGTAATAGTATTAAATAAATACTCTGTATATAAATGACTGTAATAAAAGCCACAAACATGACATAATATTTAGCATACTAGGATGAATCAGCATGACAGAATCAAAACGTAAGGTTCAACCGAGATTAGTAGCGTCATCGGCTTGGTTCAATCCATTCGGGTTCACGGGTGGACCGGGAAGGATGTTACATTATTATGTTGGAAAAAAAGGCTTAAGATCTATACCATAGTTAGATCTTCTGATCATCATAACGCATAACCTAGATATATGTTTAGTTTTTATTGACAATTCTAGTTGGTTATGGCATAGAAGACTTGGACATGCAAGCATGCACCTTATTTCCAAATTATCTAAGAAAGATTTGGCTCGTGGTTTGCCAAAGCTAAAGTTTGAAAAAAATCACATTTATGATGCTTGTCAATTGGGCAAACAAACCAGAACATCTTGCAAATCTAAGGGCATGGTTTCTACTGCTAGACCTTTAGAATTACTACACCTTGATTTATTTGGACCTATTACTCCTTCTAGTCTTGGAGGTA